GCACAAGTAGCAGCTATCTTAGATTGCTTTATAGCTCAGGCAAGGTGGACTCAGGTAGAACACAAGTGAGCACTGACCTTGCACCACCTAGGAAATCCCAGATCTGCATACCCACTAGACAACTACAGACCACATCAAAGCACCACCACTCTGCATCTGCACAGTTGATCCTCTACAGAGCGCAGGGGTTGGCATAAGTGGTCATAGACAGTCCTTTCAGCTGACTGGCCTGGGTAAATCCCTCCCATTGATCTGGCAACAGCAACAAAGGATCAACTACAAGAGAATGGTGTAGTCATCCCACACAAAGGGTGCACTTCGAGTACCCTTCTCAGGTGATAGTGGGGGCTGTACCACTGGACCTTACAGAACACCTACTTAGGCCACATGACCAAGACACAGAGTCAAAGCAGCTCTACCAATACAGAGAAACAAACACAGAGAGGCTGCCAAAATGAAGTGACAAAGAAACACAGCCTAATGAAAAAACAGATCAAAACTCCAGAAAAAGACATAAATAAAATGATGATAAGCAATCTATCAGATGCAGAGTTCAAAACACTGGTTATAAGAATGCTCACGAAACTTACTGGGGAATTCAATAGCATTAAAAAAAAAAATCTACTCAGAAATGAAGGCTACACTAATTGAAATAAATTACAATTTACAAGGAAATAACAGTAGAGTGGATGAAGCTGAGAATCAAATCAATGATAGGGAACATAATGACATAAAAAACAACCAATCAGAACAAGAAGAAGAAAAAGAATCCAAAAAAATTAGGATAGTGTAAGCAGCTTCTGGGACAACTCCAAGAGGTCCAATATTCATCTCATATGGATGCCAGAAGGAGAAGAGAAGCAGCAAGAAATTGAAATTCTATTTGAAGAAATGATGAAAGACAACTTCCCTAGATTGATGAAGAAAATAGGCATGCAAGTCCAAGAAGCACAGAGAGTCCAAAACAAGATGAATGCAAAAAGGTCAACTCCGAGACATATCATAATTAAATTGCGAAAGTTTAAAGGTAAAAAGAGAATCTTAAAAGCAGCAAGAGAAAAAAAGTTAATTAACTACAGAGGAGTTCCCATAAGACTATCAGCTGATTTCTCAAAAGCAACTTTGCAGGCTAGAAGGGATTGGCAAAAATATTCAGTCGTGCAAAGCAGGGACCTACAGCCAAGATTCCTCTACCCAGGAAAGCTATCATTTAGAATTGAAGGGAAGATAAAAAGCTTCCCAGACAAGAGAAAAACTAAAGCAGTTCATCATCACCAAACCATTATTATATGAAATGTTAAAGGAACTTATTTCAAAAAAAAAAGAAAATCAAAACTTTTAACAATGAAATGGCAATAAATACATATCAATCAACAATTGAATCTAAAAAACAAACTAAGCAAACAAAAAGAACAGAGACAGAACCATGGATATGAAGAGCATTTGATGGTTGCCAGATGAGAGGGAGGTGCAGGGGATGAAGAAGTGAGGGGATGAAGAAGTACAAATAGGTAGTCACTGAATGGCCATGGGATGTAAAGTACAGCATAGGAAATGGAGTAGCCAATGAACTTACATGCATGACCCATGGACATGAGTAATGGTGTGGGGATGTCCTGAAGGCGTGGGGGTTGTCAGATGGGGGGGGAATGGGGAAATTGAGACAACTGCAATAGAAAAAGGAAAGAGGAAAGAAAAAAAGAAAAACAGTAAAATAAAATAAATCCACTGAATTGTATGCTTCAAAATGTAAATTTTTTATCTAAATAATAGATGAATAAAGCTGTTATTTTTTTAATAGTCATACTATTCAAGTCTCCTGTAAATAACATTTTCCACCTCTGTAAAATGTTAAGTCATATCAGAGACATGGAGAACATCTGGAGAGGTCATCTATTTGTCTTCAGTCAACCAAATGCTTAATTCTTGAAAGAATTCTAAAATCTTATCAGAGTAATGTCAAACAAATGGTATCTTTTATCCTAGTCACTATTTTTCATCTACTCATTTTTTGTTCACAAGTATGAACCTCATGAATTGGGTTAAAAAAAAAAGGAAAAGATAAGTCTAGTCAAATTGACCCTTAATTTTCTCTAAATTTATAGCATATGTATCCTCTTGAGGAAATATATATAATTTATATTACTTATAAAAATGTGCATATTTTAAAGCTAAGATACGATAATGAAGGAATAAGGATGAATGTGTTGAGCTTTTGGTTCTACCTATATGTTGTAGGACTACTAGCTGTGAGCTTTAAAGTCATCTTACAATTTATTTCCAAAAAAGATTGGGAACATGTTAACTATTGGTCTATTTCATAACCCACCCCAAATCTGTTCTTCATTAGATGAGGTAGAGAGTTGGGTACACTGAGACCCAGTTCCATTCACGTTTACCCACAACAGCCAGTAATGAACTATAGTGAGAAATATTTACTATTTAATTACTGGAGAAATCTAAAAGCACAAGGTCCAAGAAACTGGTCAGATAGTTTCTTAGTGTAACCTGGTTCCATCCACCACAACCACAATGGAGGCCTTTAAAGAAGCAGTATGTCACCACTAGTTGGCTACAGGATTCAGTTATCACTGGTACAGAATTTTTTATTATATTTTATGTTTAAACAGCAAAAGAATATCAGAGGAAATCATTTCTTTCTTTAAAAGAAAACCACCTACAATTTTACCATCCTACCAAACTATTCCCATTTTTTGTTTCATTGTGGTTTTTCTCAATACATATATTTTACATGGTTGCAATCATAGTGAACATACACTTTCATATTTTTTCTTTTGCCTAGCAAAAGAATCAATCATGACTCTTGCTACATTTTCATACTTACTCAATTTTTTTATATTGAAGCACCATGACTACGAAACCAATTTCCTAATTTTGAATATTTAGGTTGTTTGCTTCCAATTGATTGCTAATATACTATAAATATTACAGCAAGGAACATCCTAGTGTATACATTTTTTTTCTATTGGCTTACTGGTTTTTGGAGGAATTTACAGAATTGGAATGACTGAGTCAAAGATAGAGTGTATAGTGATTCCCTTATGGAAGCTAACACCATTATACTTATTCAACCTGCTTCTAAGAGCTCATAAGAATCTGGTACTGTTGTACCTTCTTTTCTCAGATGAAGTTCACATTCTGAATTATATTTTTTGTGATCAAATATGACCAAAATAATATGATTTCACAGAATAGACATTTGCTACAATATTTTATCCTATAACAAGATTAAAGTGTTCTTTCCAGTCAAAAGTAAATATCTTGGGTATTTCACCATACATATGATCTTAGATTAATGATTGACTAGCAGAAACAAAGCATTTTATTGAACTGGTCCCTGAATTTTATAGAAATTAAGACTACCTCGGCTAAGAGATCAAAGTAAGAAGGTAAGACTCAGAACCCTTAGTTGACACAGCATTCACTTAGTTGTACGATCATTTGGCACACACTTATCAACATGTATTATTTCCTTTGGTCATTAGAGGCAAATAAGTTCTCCCACTAAGACATTTAAAGGATTGTGGGAATCCAATGGAAGATACAAGAACCTCAGGACACACAAGAAAGGTGGCAGAGGTTGCTGTGTCTATCCCAATATCACATTTTCATCTAACTGAACCTGCCCACCTCTCCCTCAGTAATAGATTTCCCAAGTTTTTGCTCGGCACAGGGTCTCCTAGTATGGAATTTATTTCCAAGCCTTCCTTGTAGATGAGGTGTAACCATGTGACTAGTTTATAACTGGCTTGACATAAGAGAAATGTTGAGTGGCAGCTTCAACAAAATTTATTTGAAACTAGCTGATGCGCATACCTTGCTCTTTTTGCTCCCAACCTCCATTTTACGACTTGGAATCGGTTGTGCAGGCTGGTGCTCTCCGGCTGATATCTTGGGCCATGAAGAAGAGACCCACACTCAGAGCCATGAGCTAAAAGGAACTATGTCTACAAGGGTTTTTTTCTAATATACTTATTATAACAGTGAACTGTCTACCTCCAGTGTCCTTTTGCATACAAAACAACTACAACAAACCTCTTCATTTAAGTCATTGCAAACTGAGGTTCTTTACTTACTTAATAGTCAAGCCTAAGTGATAGAGATGACTTCTGTATACTGGGTCATAAAATCTGTAAAGAGGGTGCCAGATAAGGCATGTGGAAAAGGGAGTCCAGGAAAACAGTCATGAGTGGATCAAGCAAGGAGATCCAAAGGGGCAAAGGATTTGCTTGGCAAAATGTGGCATGAGATTAAGAGCAAGATTTTTCTTATTTTATAGAATGCATATTTTAACACATGATCCTCAGGGATCTTGGTATTTTTAACCAGTAGCTTTATAAGCTATTGTTAATAATACATTACCTCAAACTTAGCAGCTTAAAATAGCAGTAAATATTTATTATAATGTTTTGAAGGTTAGAAATCTAGTTGGCTTGGGATCAGAATCTCTTAGAAGATGCAGTCAAGATCTTTATGAGGGCTGCAGCCATCCAAAGGCTATGGACTCAAAGTTTCGTTTCAAAATGGCCCATTCACATGCCTGGATGTTGGCAGGAAGCCTCAGTTACTTGCCAGGTAGACCTCTCCATGGGACTGCTTGAGTGTCCTTACATCATGGAAGTTGGCCTCCCCTGGAGTGAGTGATCTAGGGAAGTAGAGTGGCCTAGCCTCAAAAGTAGTCTTTTTTCTATATTCTACCATTTACATTGCATATTGTCTATTGTTTATATTGTTCTATTCAGTGTGGAAAGGGAATACATAAGGATGAAAATACCAACAGATGAGAATTACTGGGGGTCATCTTGTTACTTTAGTAAGTTTGAAAAATACAGACGACCCAAAAAAGTCCAGTTGTTGGTGAAGGATAAGTGGGTGTCTTTCTTCTGAGCATAAAAGTATCTTTCTGTAGAATTAAAGGTATAGAAGTAAATGAACTGGAGTAAATATTGTAAAACATTTAGCATTACCACTTTACTCACCTGAAATTGACTTTCTTTATCCTCTGTGACTCTCAGTCCTTGTAGGTCCAATTCAGGACGAAGTTTCCTAAAGGATCCGTTAGTCACTAAAACAAACAAACAAAATGTCTATTATCTCATTTTAATAAAGTACTCACATGGGTGAGTACTTTATTAAAACATCTCTCTGAATGTTTTATGTATACAAATCTTTTTTAACCACCCAAATTGCACTTCCTTTCATAATAGAATTCAATTTTAGTTCATATCAACATCAATTGAGCACCAACTATGCGTGAGGAATCACGGTCTCTTCAGAAGTTTAGAGTCCAAAGTAGAAGTCATTTAAATGTAAATAAATATATTCAGCAGCATTCACCAAATACAATAACAGGAAAATGCACTGGGTCTCAGGTGGTCTTTGTCATTCTTTCAAGCCTGCATATAGGACTACCCACATAGGTTTCAAAAATTACTAAGGTTTTAATCAATCAGTTATTGATTTGTTAAAACTTCAGTAATTTTCAAGGGCTTTTTCTCAATCAAAATCTTGAAGTTGTTAAATTAATGAAACAGGAAAGCCATTAGATTGAAGCAGTACTAATGCCTTAGCAGCCAAAGTAACCAAACCAAACCAAACCTAAGCTTCGTGGTTAAGAAATCAAACCCTGAAGACAACCAATCATAAAGAGCCTTCTAGGCTTTCCCAGAAAAGGCAACCACTTAATCAAATAATTTCCTTGCTTTGCTTCTGTCTGTGGAATGCTTTTAACTACTTCTGGTTTGGAGCTGCCTAATTGGAATAGATGTTTGCTCAAATAAACTCCTAAATATTTTGGAATGCCTCAGTTTATCTTTTAACAGAGCAAAACCTCAGTAGTGTTCTGTGAGATATTAATGGGTATAGCTATTTTGATTTTTTCCTGATAATTCCCCTTTAAAAAGAGTGGTCACCTGCAGGACCACGTGGGTTCCACCACTGCTACACTGGCACTATCTACCTAGCAACTGGTGCCACACTTTGTCTTCTGTTGTTGTTATTAGTCTAAGGTAGGTGTCTCATCTGATAATTTCTGCATGTATCTATGGTGTTATGCAGTGTCAACTGTGTACTTGCCTATGAATCAAATATTGAGAGTTTCTAAGTGCAATTATGTTTCACAAGTCTCTCTCATGACTTCCGTTAATCCAAGTCTATTTCTCCTGAGCTCCAATCACTGTCTCATCACTAAGGTATACTTTTTAAAGTACTGTATTTCCAAATGTGTTTAAGAAATTCAGACCTAAACATACTAGAACATTTGTGCTCAGAAAACCCAACAAGTTTGGGTTTTAAACCAAACTCTATCACTCACCACCTAGTAAAATGAGCTGACTACCAGTTACACTTGTCATTCATCATATCCTAGGCATTCATAAGAACACAGATCCCTGTCTTTAGGTAATTACAGTCCAGAGGAAGCATTCCTTTCTTCTAACCACATTCTGACAACAAATCAAAATGACTATTTCCCAGAATTATAGAACTTTAGAATAAAAAGGTTGATGGAGATCATTTAAGTCCCCATTTAATACCTGAACATTAGAGAGAGTATTGTGTTGCATATTCAGAAAGCAATGATAAAATTATGATTACAACTTACAATAGATTGTATCACCATTTCCAAAGTATTCACTTCCCTTTCCTATAAAAGGATTAATTCCACCCTTTGCAGTATAACATGCAGTGTCTCTTGCAAGAGAAGTATGTATCTCCACCTTAGTGACATTGGGCTTGGCTATGTGCTTTATTTGGCCATTGGCATGTGAGAAAACATTGTATATGCCATGATCAAGCAGAAGCTTTAATAGTTACATGGTTTTGTTCCCTTATTCTTCTTCTGACACTTGCTCAAATGTCCTGAAGGGAACAGCTCCTTCAGCCTAGAACAAAGGGGACAGACACTCCAAAGAAGAAACACATCTGATCCATCTTTTCAGATGTCAACAACATAAAAACAAACTTTGTTTATTTTTGGTGTTGTGAGCCTTGAGATTTTATAGTTATTTATTAGTAGAGCAAAGTTGAATACTTCAGAATATAAAATCAAAAAGGATAAGTAATTTGCTCAAATTTACACAATTAGGTAGCTAAATGGCAGAACCAGAATGAAATCTCAGATCTTTTCTCATCTAGTCCAGTATTTTCTCCAAATCTCAAAGCTTCTTAAATGACCAATGTAAACATCTACACAGTATATTTTACTGAGATATTGACAACATCCCCCAAAGCCATTTGCTCCATAACAACAGCTTTGTCCAGTTATTTTTTCCTTATATGGCAAGGGCAAATAATATGCCGTGATAATCCATGAAGTTTGAACTCACTGTGGTCACTACTGACCACACTAACCAGGAGCTGTCCCTCTTAATGTAAACTGGGTGGTGTGAAGTTGGAGATTGATAGAGGTTTTCCTTTTTTCGTCTGTTCACGTTGTCCTGGTCATCTTCAAGTGCCTGTTATCTGGGCTGAGATAAAGGATTCTAGCAACAGTTCTATTGTGTTAGTCTTATCTTAGGAACATATGACCTCTTTCACACTTGGAGTTCCTAAGTAGGACTTTAAAAGTGATGGCAAATTCTGTTAATACTTCACACCTGTTTTGCATCCTCTCCAGTAAAAATGTCAAGAAGCTTCAAGAAGCTCACTCTACTACAGGGCCACTTCATGCTTGTTTTACTTGCTCCTGTAGTCATTTCCCATCCAGAGTACTATAAAAAATTTATGTCTTCAATAAACCCTTCCAGTTAAAACTAGAAGCATCTATCTACTGACTATGCTATCGTTTGGATCTTCACACCTTATTTGAACTATATGCCATAGACTTTCTATATTCAACTCAATGTGTGTTCTGTATTTACTTTTGGATGATTCTTAGACTTGTCATCATATTAGACTATTAAAATGGGAATGTGTCTAGTGCTGCAGACCTTAACAGGCATTCAGTATATCCTGAGTTGTACTGAAGATGATCAATTAGACTTGTTTTATGAGGATTTATTGCTCTTTCAAAATTAAAATCTGAGTTTGGTAAAGTTTAAAGATATATAAATAATATAAAGTGAAGGAGATCTGGGGTTGAGTAATCATTGTACTAAACAATATGAACCATTCATTTAGGAAATAGATTGAGTTTTATTCTGACCTATAAGAAGCCTTTATCTTAGTTTTCATGATAATGTCAAAATATAATTTACTGCTCTATATCTGATATTGTACTCAAAAGATAAATTCCCAGTGGAATAGAGACTTAAATATAAAAATTAAAAGCATAGAACATTTAGAAGAACACAAAAGGAAATCCTTTCTAACTTTTGAGTATAGAAGGCTTCTCAAATGTGACTCAATTTAGAGGCCATAAGAATGTCAATCAATTTAATAACATTTAAAAGAAAATATACACATGACAAAAAAAGTTTTCTGCTTAAATTGTAAAATGCTGTTTTCTAATATATAAAGAACTATTAAAAATCAATAATAAATAATGACAACCCTTTATGCACCCAACATAGAAGCACCTAAATATGCAAAGCAAATCTTGATAGCAAAGAGGGAGAGATCGACAGAAACACAGTTATAGTAGGGGATTTTAATACCCCATTGACTTCAATGGATGGCTATTCCAGACAGAACACTAACAAGGAGACAGTGGTCTTAAACTACACACTAGATCAAATAGGTTTAACTGATATCTTCAGAGCATTTTTCCATTAAAGAGCAGACTATACATACTTTTCAAGTACACATGGAATGTTTCCTAGGATAGACCACATATTAGGACACAAAGCAAATGTCACTGAGAAGACTGAAATCATAGCAAGCATATTCTTTGACCAATATGCTATGAAACTAGAAATCAGTCATAAGAACACTGAAAAACATACAAAAACATGATAGATAAATAACATGTAATTGAACAAAGAATGGGTCAACAACCAGATCAAGGAAGAAACCAAAAGATACACATTAAAATAAATGTAATAAGGACACAACAATCCAAAATCTGTGGGACCTTGGGAAAGCAATCCTGAGAGGGAAATTCATAGCATTATAGGCCTATCTCAAAAAACAAGAAAAAGCTCAAATAAACATTTAACTTCATACCTAAAAAAACCTGAAAAAGAACAACAAAACCCAAAGTGAGTGGGAGAAAGGAAAAAGTAAAGATCAGAACAGAAATAAATAAAAGAATGTAAAAAACACTATGAAAAAAGATCAATGAATCCAAGAGCTGGTTCTTTGAAAATATAAACAAAACTGACACACCTCTAACAAGACATATCAAGAAAAAAAAAGAAAGAACCCAAATAAATTAAAATCAGAAATGAAGGAGGAAAAGTGACAACTGACGCCAAAAAAAATACAAAGGATTGTAAGAAAACATTATGAAAAACTCTATGCCAACAAACTGGACAACATGGACAAAATGGATAAATTCCTAGAAACATACAGTCTTCCAAAACTAAATCAGGAAGAATCAGATAATCTAAATAGACAGATCACATCTAATGAAATTGAAGCAGTAATCAAAAAACTTCCAAAAAACAAAAGCCCTGTACCAGACAGCTTCACAGGTAAATTTTACCATACATTTTGAGGAGAACTACAATGTCTCCTTCTGAGACTATTTCATAAAATTCAAGAGAAGGGAAGGCTCCCAAACTCATTTTACAAGGCCAGCATTATCCTAATTCCACGACCAGATAAAGATACTATAAAGAAAGAAAATTATAGGCCAATATCCCTGATGAACACATACACTAAAATCCTCAACAAAATATTAGCAAAACAAATACAGCAATGCGTTAAAAAGAGCATATACCATGATCATGTGGGATTTATAATGGGAATGCAAGTTTGATACAACATTTGCAAATCCATAATGTAATTCACCACATAAACAAAATGAAAGATAAAAACCACATGATCATATCAATAGATGCAGAAAAAGCATTTGAGAAAATCCAGGACCATTTATGATAAAAACTCTCAGCAAAGAGGAATTAGAGGGAACATACCTAAACATAATAAAGACCATATATGACAAACCCACTGCCAGCATCATAC